TAGTTCTTATAACTTCTTTATTTTCTTTTATATTTCCTTGTCCACCAAAGAATTCATTGGCAATGTATTGCTTTAGGTTTTCTATACCTTCTTGTACTGAATTTTTTAACCCTTCTAAGGTTTCATTTTTTATTATTTTTTGAGCGTCTTCTGTTAATCCAGAAAACCAGTCATTTACTTTTCCTATGAAAGTATTTAACATGATGATGTATTTTTCTTCGTCTGTGTAATTTCCTTTTCCTAATAGGAAGTATAGGAGCATATTTTGAGACCATAGGTCTAAGCTATCTTCTGGATCTCTTTTACACTCGAGATCGAGAAATTGAGCTCCGATATCTCCTGTTGGAAGCCTATTTGGCATAAATTTTGATTTGTTATTATCGTGAAATTGTTTTGAAAATTCATTATTTTTCTTTGCTTTATTTGCAAAATTTCTATTGTCTTGTTCTGGCTCTTGCCATTCTTGTTTCATTGAAGTGGATGCTTCAAATTTTCCTTGGGGTCCTCCTGTTTCCCCTTTATTCATTAAAACTTTGAATTCATCTGAAAGATTAAGATCTTCCATAGAATAGACTAATTCTTCTAATTCATTCATCATTTTGTGTTTCTTTTTCCTTTGATTCTGATTCAGATTCTATTTCTTTAAAGGTTTTCTCTAGATTTGTCTCTAGATCATATAAATCTTTTTCTTTCATTTTTTGTTTTTCGAGGAAATTTTGGATTAAAATTTCATCCATACTTCCTTTTTGATAAGTACTTGCACTTGCCGATTTTTTGTTTAACAATTCCTTAATATATTTTTGACTCACTTTTTTGTCAAATTTTTCTGTTTTTTCTATTATATTTGTTATTCTTCCTGGAAGATTATCTTTAATATAGGTTACTTCTATTTCTATCATTTTTAACCGTAAGGTTAATTGTTTATTACTTTCTACTAGATCTTTTAGTAATTCTGAAATTTCTTTTAGACTCATTATTCTGAATAGTAATAATCAGAAGTATCCATCATATTAGTTTCACTATGAAAACTATATGAATTGTATATTAGTTCTTGTCTCTCTTCTTCTTTTTTAATTCTAAGAGTCTAGCAAAATCTTTTTTAATAAAAGATTGAATGCCAGGATTTGCAAGCATATTATCCTACTCTCAATTATATTTCAATTGAAAAAATTAAAGATTTTAACGTTAAGGCAATAGGAGTTGATAAGAAACTTCCCCACCTTAATAAAAAATGGATCCAAACAAGGAGAGTGTTAGGGATAAAAGCCTTATACGCTATTCTATAATTTGAATTTGTAACTGTGTACAATGCTTGGTAGTATATACTCATTATATGATTACCTGGTTTGAATAGATCATTTCTTTTGATCTGAAAATGTAAACTTAATGCGTCATTAAAATCAGCATCTTTGAGTGATATACAATGTAAGGGTTGTTGAATATTTTTCATTATGCAAGTAGCATGATTATGATATGCAATAGCTGTTTGTTTTTATCAATCATGATTAATCAAAATCAATATTATTTTAATTCCCTATAGATACTAAGTATTTTCCTTTATGTCTAAGTAAAGTATATATATATATATAATGAATTTCAAAACAAAATAAAATTTATGATAAATCTATTGAATTCGGTTTTGGGTTAAACATTAAAAAATCGGATAAATTATTGAGATGAAGGCATATGTACATTCGTTAGTTTTAAGAGTATACATAATATAATATACACAATTTAAAAAATTAACGGTTAGAGTATATACAATCTTAAAGTATAACAAAAAAATTAAATATATCTCTATTTCATATAGAACAATTTATCCATCGTTTGAAAAGTTTTTGACTCATAACTCAATTGTTAATCAAATGGTCCGAATATGCAATTATTGGCTAACGATTCCAATTACCTTTTGGAAATTTTATTCTCCTTTTTGAAAAATCACAGACAAATCAACCTATTTAATTTCTCTATTTATTTTTATTTGTTTATCCACATTGTTTGATACATTGGAAGAATTTTTGAATGATACATACATCGATGACATTGATTTTCTCATCATTGTGTTCATTGATACATGTTTTGACAATTTGAAGATAAGGGACAAAATAATTTTTTTGTTTAAAGCGACTAATTAAGATAAAACTATTGTTTTAATTTTTAAAATTTACACACGGAATATGAAGGGGGACAGTAAAAATTGAATTACACATAATATGCAGGGGACACTCACTGATACCACTATTTTGTAAATTATGAATTTTACAAGAATGAAACGAAGATTTGATTTTATAGTCGTTAACAAATATTTTATAGTTATATGATTTTTTTTTAATGGGAGACTATGATAGAAGATCTGAATTATGCTTAATGAATAAATAGAACTATAGAGGTTGGAGCATCATGCCAAGTTTTTATTATATTCTTTTAAATGGGAAATAATTTTGTTTCAATAAACTTTTGGATTTAAATGAAGTAAAATTCATTTAAAGTAGTTCGATATTCTAAAACTGAAACTTCTTTCGTTTTTAAAAAATCAATAAAATTGCCTCAAAATAGGGGGAAAAAAAGAAACTTAATTAATTTATTGGTAATTTGACTTCTTTATTTTATAATAACAAGGCTAGCTAGATTTTGTATTCTTCTCAATTGTGTATACCTTTTTTAGTTTTTCATTCGGTATTTGATATCTGATTTGGAGTTTAATTAATATAAATTTATACTGAGAAGTTTTTTTTTTTTATATTCAGTGCTTAAATCTGAAACCTCTATTTAAAGATGAATACATATTTATCTTTCCCCACTTAAAATGATATTTTTGTTTGCTACTGGTCCCTACACCTTCTTATTTGTTCCAAAGAAAGTATAACACATTATCACGTTTTATTTTTATTTTTTGGGGTGTAATGGGGGGACTAATTTGACAATTGCAGTTCAAACCCTACCTACCACACATTAAATAAATTTATGGTCCCAAAGATTTTAAAGTCTTAAATAAATATACAATGCAATTGTTTTCTGAATTCACGTAAATTCAATATTTTAAAGATAGATCTTATCCAAATAATATACACTTCACCAATAAAAAAGTACAAATAAAAGAAAAAAAAAGAAAAAGAAAGGGATATTAAAAAAAAAAAAAACTATGGTCCCCTATAAAATGTTTTTATTCATGAGTCATCTTGTTAATATATAGAACACACAAAAAATGTGATTTATAATTATAGGTACTTGATATTGATATATTGTTCATAGTTATTATGTCTTTCAATCATCCATGCATATACATACTCTTTATGTTATGATTTTTGCTCATTGAGATTCAATTATATTATTTTCTTAACTCCAAAATAAACGATATTTAAGTTAAAATCACCTTCGTTTAGTTTACTACTCTTGGCCTCTAGCCTTTTTTCAATGTTCAAAAAGTATTATATAATGCAACTCTTCTCATGTCAATATAATAAAAAAAATATTCTTTAAAATGTAAATTGAAGTTTGTATAATTTGAATCTCGTTTAGCTAAAATATCATTTGAGACAGAGAGCGTATTTAATGTCTTACATGACTACATGAGTATATATTTATATATGAAAGTTGTAACGGCCCATCTCGCTAGTGATGTTAGTCGCTTTTGGCTTATGCCTGCATGACTTTAAAACACGTCTTTAATTAGTAAGGACTGCTTTCTTATAAGTTATATATTCAACATCTTTCCTGTGTTTTTATCGATGTGAGACTTTTTGTCTTAAGTTGGGTGTCATATATATATATTATTTTATCTAATGACGGATCATCATAAGAAATATTTAATATGAACTATTTGATAAAAAATTAATAATAATTTCATAGCTGAATTTTTGAATTTTTATATAAAAAAAAGAAGCTATGGTCCCCTAATGTAATGTTCTTATATTTATGAGTCATTTTGTCATATACAGAACATATAAAAAATGTTTTATAATTGTAAGTATTTTTAATATTGATATATTGCTCCTAATTATTATGCCTTTCAATTTATTAAATTGCGTGTGAATCCAATATTTTCTATTAACCATGCATTTACTCTTTAGATATCTCTGATATTTTTATAAGTAATGGACACAATTATTTCTTTATTTTTTGTATACTTATAAGAAATTAATAAGAGGAATTTGGGTTAAAAAAATATTTTTATATATACAAGGACTAAAATAGAGCAACCCTCAAACTTAATGGTTACCAATTGGGTAAAAAAACATATACTAGTATATTTGGAAGTTTTTGGTACTGATTGAAAGAGAACCTATTTTATAAACTTTGTAAAATAATGAAAAAAGGATCAAACATATCTCTATTTTATATAGAGTTATTTTATTCTTCATTTGAAAAGTTTTCGACTCATAAATCTATCGTTAGTCAAATGGTCCAAATATGCAAATATTGGCTAACGACCCCCAATTCTCTTTTGGAAATTTTATTCTCCTTTATAAAAAAGCACAACTAAATCAACTACTATTTAATTCCTCTCTTTATTTTTATTTGTTCGTCCATAATTGTTGATACATGTACGAATTAGAATCGTTTGTTAAATTATATTTTTGACTGTTTTAAAGAACAGAGAGATACATTGGAAGATTTTTTGAATAATAAATACATCCATGATATTGATTTTCTCATCCTTATATTCATTGATACATGTTTGATGCAGTACTCCTTCATTTGTTGATATATATATATATTGTATTTTGAATGAGAAATACTATCAAGACTTTGTATTTCTTATTCAAAATACATCGATGACATTACATTAATCGAAATTCAGTATATTTATTATTCAAAAATTCAGCAAATTTGGCCAAATTTTCTCACTCTTGTATTCATTGATAAATGTACAAATCAGAAGTACTTACTAATATGTCTTTTTTACTTTTTAAATTTTGTGTAAGTCAAAATAAGACAAACAAATTGAAACAGACGAATTAAAGCACAATATATAAAAGGAATTAATTAAGGAGAGTACATTTAATGAAGCCACACTTATTTATTTCATTATATATATATAGTAAGAGTACATGGATACATTATAATCAACATACATGAACCCTAATTATTATTTTTTTCACATGTGGCTGCTTAATTACTTCAATAATCCATTAATTAACCAATCACAGGCATTGATACAGCATAATCCAAGATGTTTACAACAATACGAACTCGATTACAACTAAAATCAGCTGTGACTGGAGAACCATTCAATACTATCTCAACATCAGTTATGAATGAATTTTCCTTCTCAATTATTCCCTTAGCATACTGTGCTGGTACACCAATAAGTTCTGGCCACATTGGTTTTCCTACATATACACATAATTAATTATAATGAGAGAAAGAAAGAACAAGAATAATATACTTTATATGTGTTATAATAATAGCAAACATGGAGTTGATATTGAAGTGGGTAACCAGGACCTCTATCTGCTCTGATACCATATTGAAGTGTGTAACTATCTCATCTATTATTTTTTTGAAAATTGGGGCCGGAGTAGGGGATGGACTTGAGCCAAAGGTCTTTCGAAAATAATTTTTCTACCTTCATGACTTAGTGAGACTTCACTAGGTATGTTGTTGTGGGGGACAGGGGGAGGAGAAACGTGGGAAGAGATTATAAGGTGGGGAATCGAATCTTCACCAATAATGTGAAAGTTTATGCAATCAATCAACTAAATTATTAAAATTATTTCCTCGGAGTTGAATGATTTATATTTTGTTTGGTCAAATTTCTAGGAAGTCAAAAATGTTTTTAGCTATTATTACAAAGGCACATGTTTTAGAGAATCGAGGTGTTTGGCCAAGGTTTAAGAAAAAAAAATATGTGTTTTTTTGTAGTAGAAAAAAATGTTTTTTCAGCAGCTAATTTTTTTTTTCCCTTAAAAGGATTTTAGAACATTGACCAAGCACAAATTGTGTTCTAATATTAGAACATATATTTTTTTTAAATGATTAATATATATATATATATATATATATATATATATATATATATATAGCTTGATTTGATTTTTTTAGTAAAAATCGAACCAACTCAACCTATGTGCACACTTACTCATATATGATTGTGGCAAATATTGAATTAACCATGAAACTGATGTAATATAAGGAATTTGACTCATCTCCATTTTCTTAACTAATGTAATCATTGTTAAGAGGCTTGCTAAATTAAATTCAATTCAGATCTTTAAATTTTAAATATGAAAAGTATTACTCATTTAAATATGCATTTGAGAAAATGAATAGAAAATGTAATGGAAACGAGTCAAATCCCCAAATATAAGGAGCAAAAAGTAGGGAGAAATGACAAACCTTGGCATTCCAAGTTGGGCTTGGACTCATGAACAGATTTCAATTCCTTTAGAAGTTTGATGAATTCTAGCCCTTCACTTTGCGCATTGAAAGTTTCAAAGGCTGTAAAAAAAAAAACATTTCAATAGTAATTAGTGAAAATATTTTTTTTTTAATATTCAATATATTTTAACATGTTATTATAGTTAACCCCTTAATTATATTCTACCTCATTAATATGAACGGTTATTTATAATTATCTTTTAAAGTTATTATGCTAATATATAGTGTAACAATTCTTCTACATTATTATGTATAATGTATTTCTCATTTCAAGTTAGAATGTAAGAAAGTTATGATGTCTAGAAATCTCTGGCATAAGAAAGGGTAGAAGGAGATTCATTGGAACCGTGGTAGAACCAATATTTTCATTAAGGAAGTCAAAATACAAAGAAGCACATTGTATTTACAAGATTAAACTTTTTTTTATGTATAAATAGTAGATGGTGAATTCCTTGAAAATTCTTCTTTCCCGCCCACCCACCCACCCATTTACAACTCTAATAATAATCATGCATATATATATATAGAGAGAGAGAGAGAGCGGGGGGGGGGGGGGGGGCGGGGTACTAACAAGTTGCAAGAAGAAAGAAAACAATGATGTGAGCAAACTTTGCCTCCATTTTCTTATAGTTGTAAAGAGTAGAAGAAATTGAGTGAATTTGTAAGAGTGCATCACACAAATTTATAGGCAGATGTTGCCTTCATTGTAGTGAGGTACTACATACTAGTGGTCTCTAACCACATGTTGTACAATTTGAAGATACGGGACAAAATGGTCTTTTCCTTTAAAGCCACTAATTAGGATATAACTATTATTTTTAATTTACACACAAAATATAAAGGGGACAGTGAAATTGAATTTACACGTCGTAGGTGAGGGACATCCACAGATATCACTATTTATAATTTATGAATTTGACAAGAAAGAAACATGAAATTTGATTTTATAATCGGTTATAAATATTTTCTAGTTATATGATTTTTTTTAAAGAAAACATGGAAGAACAATAAATTCATAAAATACATGGTGGAGATCTTTGTAAGCATAATCTTTTCATTCAAATTGTAAGTGCACTAGGAGATAATTTTCCTCCATAGAAATTGGAAATATAAAGGTTGGAGCATCATGTCGAGTTTTTTTAATTATTTTTTAAATGAAGGAAAATCCATTAAAGTAGTTTCAAATTCTAGAAGAAAATAAATTGAGAAATTTTTTATATTCAAGGCTCAAACTCAAAATTTCGAGTAAATTTCTTAGATAATCACTTAAGTTTGAAAATTTGCCCTACAATACACTTTTATTTCTTTAAGACCACAATATCATCAAATTCTATTTTCCTCAAAATATACTCTTCTCTCCTAGTGATATGTCATGCCACATTATTTTAAAAAAAAAAACATTTTTTCTTAACAATACAATAAAAAGTTGTTTAATGTTTCTATAAACAACTTTTTTTAGGTATTCAATTAAATATGTACATATTCTTGAATTTTATAAAAGGTAATCAAATTTTAAATTAAAATTAACTAATATTTATTATTTATTTTTTTATATATTTTTAAAATTTGATTACCTTTTATAAAATTCAAGAATGCGTAAATATTTAAATTAATATCTAAAAGAAGTTGCTTATAAAAACGTTAAACAGGCTTTTATTGTATTGTTTAAAAACTTTTTGTTAAAAAAAATAAAATAATGTGAAATGTCATCCCATTAAAAGAGAGGAATATATGTCACGATCCGGACCATCGTGATTGGCACCCACACTAACCCTCCGGTGGGAGAACCATTACTACAACCCAACTAACAACTTAACTAAAAACTAAGGCATTTAAAGATACGAAAGCAGGTTCAAATGGAAATAAAAATGGAGTCCCCATAAACTTCAAAGGTTTAAACAATTAACTAACCAAACTAATGCGGAAATTCAACCTCTAGAACCTGAGAGTCATTGTACCTAAACTCTATGAACGATAAGTCTAAGAACAAGGGGTACAACCCCGAAACTAAACAAACACCTTTAACAAATAGTCTGAGTCCGAATAGAGTGGACTTAAACAAAAAAGATCCACGGAAGCCTAAAAGAACTGGCTCACCCTTGAATCCGGTCACTCTCAATAGTCACCTAACTGAGGTCTAACAATAGCCGCCTGAAGATGCCCTGTACTCAACAAAGAACAATCAAGTGTAGTATCAGTACACAACCACAATGTACTGGTAGGATCACGCAACTATGCTAATAAATGAAACACACGCAAGTAAGCACAACATTATAAAACAAACATATATCAAACATATACAATATTAGTCATCTTTTCAGGATCAATGTAACATTCCACGTTCTCAACAATACACATTGATTATCAATTTAGAGCAACCAACAATCTTTCAATCTCAATCATCATTAGATATGAACGTAATCATCACAAGTAGATACACAACACAATTCAATGGTCCTCTCACGGAAACCAATTCAATGGTTCTCTCATGGAACTCAAACTCAAACTGTTAGTATACCGATTCGTGGTACCCTGTCACACCCCAAATTCGGATGTGATGGCACATGTCCATTTCCCACCGGACACGTCAGCCTAACCCAACCACAACAATAGAGAAGTAGAAATACGAGAATAAAAGATAATAAATAAGCGGAAGACTTTAATTGAGACTCAACACTACCCAGAATTTGGTTGTCACATGTACAAACCTCTAAATACAGAATTTGAATAAAAATATACAAGTCTCAGAGTATAGTTCTCGAATAAAACAAAACTGAAAGTAAAGATAACTTAAGGGCACGTCTGGAATGAACCGCTACCTCTCGAGTATGTCCCGAAGCTCAATCTGCTAAAGAAAATACTAAGCCGAATTTGAGAGAGCTGTCAACCTACACAATTGTGTAGAAGCAAGGGTGAGTACCGAAAACCACAGGGGCCACACATGGACCATGTATCACCGCCGAAACCAGATCTCATCGGCATCCAAATCGCTAGCCGGAGCTAGTCTCAACTGTGTCTCATATCCATCCATCCTCATAGCAGTGTCTCAGAACTCATGCAACAGATAGTTCACACATGGGATGAATAATGAATATGCACATGTCATCAATCGTAATCATATCACGATCACATCATAGTATTACACATCACCTGTCTCAAACACCACCATATCACGACCACATCATAGTATTACACATCACCTGTCTCAATCACAACCATATCACGACCACATCATAACACATTTAGCTCGTTTTATTCCCCATCTTTCATTTACAACAAATTTCAATCAACAAATAAACTCATCCTCAATCCCCATTACTCCCCAACACAATTAGGAAAGTAGTCATGCGTAGTCTAAGAGTTTTACAAAGTTTGGAAGCCACTTGCCTTAAAACGAACTCCAAAAGTTACTTGACTTGAGCCTTTCCTTTCCGAGTAGAATCCGAATCATGATAATCTATTCAAACAATTATTCACAATCACAATTCGAGTCCAATGAGACCAAAATCAAGAAATTTAGGGAAAAAGGGCAAAACGGTCCAAAAGTCTCATACCGGAAAACGATACCCAAATCTGGAATTTTTTTATGTAAAATGATCCTTAAAGTATTTGGAAGCTAATGGTGAAAACCAATTTGAAAACGGAGTTGAAATCAATTCACAAACTCAATTTGAAGAAAAATTCACGTTCTTGAAGAAGCCTAAAATATTCGGATCTGAAACCCCGACTCTGTCACGCCCCGAGCCTACACCCTGGGCGGGACCGGCACCCGGAGACCATTTCTAGCCCCAAGCGAACCCTTGGCCTGGCTTTCTTAACTCAGCGGAAACCTCAACAGAATAACTCAATGCAATGCAATATTACAAAACAACTTAACTTATAAAATATGGCCATAAAGGCAACTCGAATCTCAAAATAGAATATTTACATATATATATAGATGAGAGACTCAAAACTAAATGACTGACTGTCTGTCTATGAAGCCTCTAAAATACTGAGATGGATGTTGGGACAGACCCCGCAACATCCTAATAAAACAAAAACTAAGAACACAAAATAATTGAGTCCTCCGGAATGCAAGGAGGCTCACCACTGACTCTGGAGTGCTCAGCTGGATCAACGACGTGCAGGATGCTGATCCGGGGTACCTGAATCTGCATCATCAAACGATGCAGGCCAACTGGCATCAGTACATGGAATGTACGAGTATGCAAGCTGGAAAACTAAGCAACAAAGGCTAGAAGGAAAACTGGAAGAAACTGAATAGCTTACCTGGCTCAACTTAACTCAACCTGACTGACTTCTTTCAATATAAGGCAATTTAAAACAAGTGCGATATAAAGAAAGATTGCTTAAAACATGCTATGAACTCTGTGTGTATACAAGGATACAATAAGCCTGAAATGTGTATAAAAATACAATGAACTGATGTATATAAAAAATACAATAATCTCTGTGTATGAAAAATACAATAACTGCTGTGGGAGTTTCTCTAACCGACAACCATCACATAAGAGCTATAGTGATGATACAGCGATCGACCTCACGCTGCCAGAGCATCTTATACCCGGCCAAAGGTATAAGACCTGAACTGCCTAATGGATCCACTAGTCTAATCTGAAAAGGATTCATCTAAAAAGTATGATCCTTTTCTACCCATGGTGGCTAACATGGTTCTATGGGGGCTGTGGGTTCTTTGAACGCTCCCCCAATTCGGTGCTCGATACTACTCCCAAAAATGTACTGGCTCTTATGTTTTTAAAACATATTTCTTCCTACTGATATGAAATAATTACTCAAAAACTAGCCCGAAGGCTTTTTGGAAATCTCAGTTTCCAACCTTGTTTAAATGTAAAAACATTTCTTTAAAACTTCTTTGGGAATACATAGTTCCCTAATAACTTTGAGAAAAGAACTCAACTTTAAACTCTTTACTTTACTTGAACTCTTGGCTTGATGTGAAACTCTTAACTTAACATGAAACTCTTAACTTTTGACTTGACTTGAAACTCAATACTTAACTTGGAACTTGAGCCTTAGAATGAAGTTAAAACGCTCAATGAAGACTCTTGGAAAACCTTAAAGACTTGCTTTGACTTACTTACTTCTAAGCTTGACTTCACTTGACTTGGAAACTAACTTCACTTGAATTGGAAACTAACTTCACTTGACTTGGAAACTAACTTCACTTGACTTGTAGTTTTACTTGACTTTTGGAAGTACCTTGGAGTGTTGGAAACAACTAGGAAACATAGGTATAATACCTAGGAACATGTATAAAAAAAGAAATGGTGAATGAAAGGGAAGGATTGGTGTCCTTGGCACTAGGAGAGGTGCAACAGCCCAGCCCCTTTTTCCCCAAAAATCCGACTTTTTCCCCTTGTTTCTTTCCAATTCTAAACCCTCTCAACCTCAAGGTTTCAGCAGCAACACTTAGAATCATAAAGACCCTTATTATACAATAGATTCAACTCAAAAATCACAGCCAGAAATCTGTACTAAATCAGCAAGAACTTCAACACAACACCACTACAACTTCAACAACCAATAAATCTTCTCTTGGAATTAAAAACGAGTTGGTGTGTGGGGGTATGAACCAACCAACACTAAGGATCATAAAATTCCTCAATATACAATAGGTCACAACTC